GTCTGTTTTCTGGAAAGGAGCTTCTGTCCACTCTGTTACAAAGTGTAAAACGTGGTGTAACTTGAAACTAGCAACAAGCGTGCTTTCTTCCTGAAGTATGACGTTCTACTTTGAAGCTTCAGATCTAGGATGTACCTGGTTATTTTTTTTTACAAGGGGCAGGGGCTAGGCAGTAATCATTTATATTACTGTGTTTATCATGGCAGAGTACGTTGTAGTGTGGGGTTTGTGTCCAGCACTTCCTAACCGAGAGCACGGAGCTCGCTTTGTGCCCTTTCGGCAAAGAACACCACCAGTGATAAGGGTCTAAAGCTGATTTGTGAATTACCTTTCATTGGGACAAGTGTTCAGAGCTCAGGCTGATGTAACAAAAGGGCTTAAGAATGAATGCAGTAAAGCAAATGCACAGGGCAACCAATAATGAGGATATAGCGGGGAGGAGCCACACAATTAGGGGTGGCCTTTGCCAGGGGAGCAGAGAGACAGCCTCCGGACAGGCCCAAGGAAAGCCTGAGCTCTTAAATTCTTGAGCAAAAGAAAGGACTCTGCGCTCCAAACAAACTGGTGGGCTGGGCTCTGAGCGCCCTGTCCCCGGGTCCCCTCCCCATACCCTGATGGTGCCACTTCAGGCTGAGACCATAAAGCCACAGATGGGTTTTACTAAAATCGGTCCTAGCACTCTTAAGGATCTCTGCTTGTTCTTCCCAGCTCTTGAGTTTTACAGCGAGATACCTGGGTAGTAAGTAGGCCCTAGGACCGGGGCGACTTGCACATTTGCATGGTAAGACCGAGTTCCGATTTGCCAGTTTGAGAGCGAGCGAGCAAGCGAGGCCGCGCGAGCCAAGGGCCAGGAGTATTTCCAAGGTGGGTCGTCCGAGCAGAAAGCGTGCTCCACATTTTTGCGAAGGCCCAGGAGAGCTCTGCCCTGGGACAGGGCTGTAGCTTGGCCCGGCTGGAGAAAGGCGGCGGAGTCGGGGCCCCGACACCGAGTCAGCCTCCGGGAGTGGGAAGCGCAGCCGAGCTCAGCAGGGCGGGGTTTGGCAACTTCTCCCTCGGCGTCCGGGGAGGGAAGGTGCCAGCCGGTCTTCAGTTCGCTGTCTTCCCCAACTCCCTCTGCCGTCCTTCCCTGCCGCCCGCATGCAGAGAAGCCACCGAGAGGGGCGCAGCATCCTCGAGCAGGCGCGCTGCCTGGGGGAGAGAGCAGCCGGGGAGGTGCGGGGCTCGGCGCGTGCGGCTCCCGGCGCGAGTGGGCGGCGCGGCGGGGG